GTGGGCATGTAAACAAATGCATAATGCTGCGCTATACTTTGTGGCCTCACCCGGTTGCATAGCGACGCTTATTGTTTAGGTGTCTTTTAATGAGCAGGTAGTCATATCATTAGCTAGAACTAGCTAGATCTGATCGATATGGACAAAAACGTGAGTAAAGTCTAATCTGACGGGAGAGAGAGATCAGCTGCTGCTGACGAGTCGACACGCAGCTCTGCATAATCACATGCAGCGGTGAGCTGAGCAAAACACACACTTCTGGTTAGAAAATCACACTTAGCTATTTTAATGACCTCTCAAACTACCTAAACTAGTTATAGATAGGCCTATGTTTAGTTTTACTGTCGGGTCACTCATTACTGGATCCGCGAGCTGCATGATACTGACAGGCTGTCAGGAGAGGGAGAGAGCGCTCCGTTTATTATTCCCGTGTTATTAAGTTACTGTACACTTTTGAATAATGTAGTTAATACTATAATTAGTTTGTTTAATATCGAATCATATCAACTTGTTTTAAAGCTCAATAAATAACAAAGAAGACCTTTGACCGGCACTTTTCTAATTTTGTCCGGAAGATTTAAACTTTAAAGGACATGTTGACCGGCAAAAAAATATTCTAACGGGTACTCTGAGCTGCGCATGGGTTCGCTCGACAAAAAAGCAATTGGATTTCTCCATAAGACTTTGGAAAATAGCTCGAAATAAGATCTGTGGGAAACGAACCTATTAGATAAATGCACGTTTTGTTCAGCCGGATAATATCCATCGATTAGATTTATGATTAGAAAATTAGAAAAGTAGGGTAGACATGTGGAATCCTATGGAGAAATCCCATTGCTTTTTTGTCGAGGGAACCCATGCGCAGCTTACTTCCGGGTTTTAGGACGCGTCACTGCACCACTCTATTGTGATTTTTAAACCAAACATCTTGCAGAGCGGCGTGGCCAGCAGCAGCTCATTTAAAGCTACAGACAGATAATCAGCACTTTTGAAACAGGGCGGAAACAGAGGGGTTTATGTGATGCTACAATGTATGATCTGTTTGGTATTTCAGCCAATCACTTCAGAGACATGTTTTGTATATAGCTGGATAATATATTGTTGAAAAAGGGTATAATAGGGGACTTTTAATTACTAAACAGGAATAGCTGCTACTTAATTAACATGTTTTATTGTAGTTTGTACTACTAGGGTGACAGCTATGCGTCACTGTAAATATGAATGGCAATTTAGTGTGTCTGTCACAAGAGTGAGATGTTTTATTCAATGTTAAAAGTTTTATTTTTGTAACTTGCTGCTTTTTATAAGAATAAAAAGATCCCAATAGATGACAAATCATAATTATAGTAAAGATGGATGCATTTAAAAATGTGTCAAGGGATAAACAAAATGTATTTCTGACATTGATTCTGTTAGAACTGTTTTAATTCAAAGGTGTACAACCTCAACTGAAGGATGTTACTACCATACAGGGGAAATGACAAATGCCAGGTGTTGATATTTAATAGTTTTTCCTGAAGGCTACTTTCTACTATCTTCTAAAAAACCTTGGTAAAACACATAAGGAACTGAAGTTACAATGTTTCCAATGTATGTTTATTTGAACATGTACCTTTGATTCATATATTTTCCAAAGCAAACTTTCTTTCAAAAATAATTTGGTCACCAATTCATTGTTGTGTATAATAATGCAGCCATACTCGTACACAGAGGTGGGAGAAGTACTCAGATCTCGTACTTGAGTAAAAGTAGAAGTACCAGAGTGTACAAATACTCTGTTACAAGTAAAAGTCCTGCAATCGAAAGTAAAAGTACAAAAGTATTAGAATCAATATATACGCACGAAAAACTAAAAGTACTTATTATGCAGATCGGCCCATTTCAGAATAATATATATATGTTAAAAAAATAAACTAACAAAAATGAAATGAAAATATTTCTGTCAGACAAGACAAAATAAAAACACATATTGAATCATGTATTCATTCGGCAGATTTCATATCATGATTCATTTTAGATGAGGATAAAAGACCATTTACTCTACAGTACCATGAACCTTGTCTGAATGTTGAAGTGTCCGCTTGTATATGATTTGGGAGGCGTGTGGCGCAGTGGATAGAGCCTTGGTGTTAGGATCAGAGGGTCACAGGTTCAAACCCCACAGCAGTCAGCATGTCATTGTGTCCCTGGGCAAGACACTTCACCCCAAATTGCTCCTGTGGGGATTGTCCACAGTATTGAGTATGACACTTTGGATAAAAGCGTCTAACAAGTAATGTAATGTATAGATCTGCCCCTTTGTGGTGTCAATGTGACATTTTGATTGAACTTCTCTAACAAATGTGCCTGTAAACTACATTCACAATAAACTAAAGGGAATCGTTTATACTTCACACTAATATATTCATTTAGTCCTGAATTGTGCTGAGGTGAGTGTGTTTTCTTTGTTTCAGTCAGTCAGACAATACAAAGATTTCATAAGACAGGAAACGATTTTCTTGTTGATTGTTTAAGATAGATACGCATTGTTGCTCTAAATCAGCGTTTCTCAAAGTGTGGGGCGTGCCCCACTGGTGGCCGGAATCGAACCTGGGTCCTCGCGGGCGGTAGTGGACTGTTACAGCCGGAGACTCGCAACGGCGGTAGACTTTCACAGCGCCGGACCCGCCGGAGCCTCGCAACGGCAGGTGTTTGCGGTACCGGCGCGGCGGCGCTTTGAAAGTCCACGGCCCACCTATGCCAGAGCCAGCGGCCCACCGAAGGCAGCAGCCCACCAACGGCAGCAGCCCACCAACGGCAGCAGCCCACCAACGGCAGCGGCCCACCGGGAATAGTCCCGAATCTCCCGATGGCCAATCCGAGCCTGCTCACACACACACAACTGAAACCAAAATCATTTACAGACATATGTAAATTCTCTCATACACACATGTGAAACGCTCTCTCACACACACACACACACACACACACACACACACACACACACACACACACACACACACACACACACACACACAACAGCAGCGTTGCAGTCGGGATAAAAAGCAATGTGGAGCGGCATCTCACCACAAGGAGTTTAACCGTGACACTTTTCAAAATCCCGTTTGTGTCCCCCCACTTTACAAATAGGCCTATGTTTATTATTATTTTTTAATGCAAGCCGTCATCGCCACGGAGGAGCACACAGCCTCTGTGAGCGAGCGAGACAGAGAGAGAGAGCGAGACAGCTAGAGAGAGCACACCTTTATCTATTTAATATAGCCTAGTTGTAAAAAATAAAGTAACAAATCATTCCAATGTGTAGGGAGACCAGGGACAGTTGCAACACTTTTTGGGCTTTTCCCCAATAAGTAAAAAAACATTTACAATAGGATAGCCATTTTGCTATATTATACATTATCAATATGTCAGCTACTGAAACAATGTATTTAAGAGGTTTTTATGAAATAAGTACAGGTTGGAAAATGTATTTTAAAAAAAAAACTCAACTGTTACAACTGTCCTTGTATACAGGGACAGTTGTAGCACATGCCAGGCACGGTTGTAACATGTTAATAACGGTTACCTTTTTTCACACTACATGACAACAAATAGGGAAAGCTGTCAAATTCTAAGGCAACAAGATTTGAATGGGGTTTCACACATCCTCCAACAAACAATGAACAATGAACAGGATAACAGATAACACACACAGCATCATCCTCTGTGAAGGATTAAACTGTTCTCTGAGAGGTGCTTCTACCTTAATTATGTAGACCTACCTCCTTTGAGCTGAGACCATAATATAAATCAGCTGCCTCCATCAGATAGTCTCTCAAAAGCATCTCCTGCTCTGTTGAGAACACCTTCTTTGGTGTCCAGTAGCCTACTCTTGGGGGTGTTTGTGATCCCTGACTCTCCAACCTCAGCCTCTTTGTATGGAACCGGTACAGGGTGACATGGCATATATCATGGGACTTTGCCACTTCCCTGAATGATTTGCCCTTCTCAACTTCATTTGAGGCCCTCTGCAGCAGAGCAAGTGGCACTCCCCTGTCTGTCTTCCTCTTTCTGACATTTGGCATACTGTAAACACACACACACACACACTTTAGGCCTACTGTACAGTATTTTATTCTGTTTATTTTTACAGGGACAATGCACACCAATCAACAATACAACTGTATGCTTGAATGAACAATTGATCATTCAAGCAAATGAGCCATCATTGTAAATGTGCCATGTTACAACCGTCCCGTTACAACCGTCCCAGGACCACCAGTCTTGCTTTCACCCCCTGTGAACCTGCCTGATTGCTAGCTTGACCCATATTTAGCTAGTTATATTTGTAGCTTACAAAACAGTGATTCTAATAATACTAGTTTGGATTCCTAGACATTTGAACTCAAGACAGTATCCAAAAAATACATCATATAATTTTAGTTAATATTTTACCTGAGAAACACACTTTTGCTGATATCTTACGCGAGAAATTCAAACGTGGCTCCTTTTTTTCTCAGCGATCTCACCATCTATCTGCGCATGTGCAGAGTGAGTTTCATCACTCTAGCTTGTTTGTGATTGGAGATATTGAAGGTGTTACAACCGACCCGTGTTGCAACTGTCCCTGGTCTCCCTACTATAGGACAGTAAAAAAAAAAAAGGTTTAAAAGGGGAGTGATTAGTAAAATATACATAAATAAAAAGAAAGAATGCTAACTAGGTAACATAAGATAAGAATAAACAAGTTTAAATGAGTTGTTATTGGTTGAGATCATATTCTAAAAATGTTTGGATTATTGAAAAGTATACAGCTCCCTTTCATCTGAGTGTTGAGAGCTGTATCCATGAATTCATTTTGTGCTCAAAGTGCACCAGATTGATGCATTTCACTTCAACATAAAAAAAAAAAAAATCTTCCGATACATTTGACCATTTTAAGCTTGGCCTACCATTTAATTGGAGCGACGAGGAACAGGTGGGGCTTGAAAAGGCCCACCTGTTCAAAGTGGGGAATGACAGAAAAAGTTTGAGAACCACTGCAGAATGCAAATGCAGAAGTGAAAAAGGTCCAACAGTTGACTGGCATGCTGACACGTTCTGTATTTTGGGTGTGACATTTTCCCACTTCTTCGTTCTGTTTCTTTTTCTTCAAAACTGCAATGCAATAACATGCGGATGTGGAGCCTTGAGAACCTGCCTTTCACTCTGTACAGTAAGTTACATACATTCATCTGTTTTTATGCTAATTACATTTGGAAGAATCCTTTTTTGTAGCTATACAGCCATATAACAGCTTGCATTTTTAACTACATGATGAGATGAGAAAAAGCATATTATTGACATATAAGAGATTCATAGGAAGCCAAATAAACTTCAAATGAAAAATAAAAGTTAAAGATGATTTCTATGATTTGTATTTATTTTGTGTTTTTTCTTTTCAGTTGCTCTGATCTGTGTGAGGAGCGCAGCAGCGTTGATCCATGTGTTTGGATATGAAGGAAGACAGGCTGTAGTATATTGTCCCCATATACAGGGTTATGAGGATTATGAGAAGTACCTGTGCAAGAACGAGTGTGGCAACGACGATGATGTTCTTATTAAGACGACAGAAACAAATAAACACAAATACTCCACCAAGGATGACGGAAAGGGACTCTTCACAGCGACCATCTCTGATCTGAGTTTGACGGATGCTGGAAAATACTGGTGTGGGGTGACCAGGACTGGAAAGGATATCTACTCTGAAGTGCAGCTGGACGTAGTTGAAGGTAAGGCAAAAAAAGGTTTAAATTTAAGTGTGATTCTTTATTCCACTACATGTCCGGACCTCGTTCTTTACTACAGGTTTTCACCATAATATGCCATGGGTATGCTGCAATGGTTTATTACATTTACAGAGGTGGAATTACTCAATCTACAAAAATGCATCGCTACGAGCGGATGGTTATTATAACCAACAAAATGTGTTATTTTCTCATGTATAGTACCATCTTACTTCGATTTGTGTGTTCATAACATGAATATAAATTAATGACACAGACAGCATAATTGTTTTATTACTTTTACTGACTGTTTCAAAGTACAGTTCAGCTTTTTTAAACACTTTATAAATAACCCTACTAATTACATTTTGTATAGGTCAGTTACACGATAACACGGTGCTGCTGGTAGAGTTAGAAAACAAAAGCAGTTATAGAAATACAGTGTCATGGAAGTAAATATATACACCTTTTACTGTTTTAAAACATTATCCCATATGTTGTTATGTATGAAATGACCCAAAATGAACACAGTAAGTGGACTATTACTACTACATCCCAAGCGTATTCTTTTAACAGCATTTGAATTATTCTTTACCAAGCTTTTGGATCCATATATAAGTGTTTTAGGGTTTAAACGTAATCACTATAAGCTGTTTCCACTGTAATTGAAGTTTTCTTGAGTGTCATCTCTCCTTCTATGTCAGGGGCATTATTGTACTTTTTCACTCTAGTACATTTAACTGAAAGACATTTGCAGAGTGTTTTTATATACAAAAACATATGATCATGCTATAAAATTGATGCAGAAAAATCAGAAGGTGTTGTATGCGCTTACGATACGATACGATAATACTTATACTTAATTTGACTTGCTTCACAGCAGCTCCATGTGTAACATCAACATAGACAAATATCAAGACACAATACATGAAGAACAAACAACAAACATTTAACATAACAGCACAAACATTACAAGCTTGTAACAGTGTGAGATGTGTGCTTCTCCAACAGACAGATGTTGTGACACAACCAGCACAGTTCAGGGTAACGAGGAGAGTTCAGCATCATTCAGCTGTACGTATGAGCCGGAGAACAAGGACAGTGAGAAGTACTTCTGCAGAGGAAACCAGCCATCTAGGTGTCTGCAGAACGCTTTAATCACGTCTCCCAACCAACAAAATGGACGGTTCAGTCTTACAGATGACAAGGCGTCAAGAAGGTTCACACTGACAATCACCAGTTTGACCAAACAGGATGCTGGCTCGTACGTTTGTGGTGTCCATAGAAACACCGGTCTGGATTTGTTTGAGGCTTTTGAGCTAGCAGTCCAAGGTGAGACATCCTCCTTAACCATTATTTATGTTATGTTATGTATGTTAATCAGCCAGAAAACAACTTTCTGTCACGTGGATTTTGCAAACAGAATTATGAAAGATTTAAAAACCAAAGCTTTGAATTTACACTTTTATGATTTGTTTATCCATTTATTTTCTGAGCTGAACAGAAGCTGCAGTTTTGTCTCACACCTCCTATTGTTTCACAGGGTGGTGCTGTGTGAAGACAAACAAGCTGAAAGGCATTGTGGGACATCCAGTAACCATGCACTGCCCCTACCCACCACAACACAGGGATAACAGGAAGTTTCTCTGTAAGGGATACAACCGCAAAAACTGTACAGACATGGTGAAGACTCAAAGCAGGTTCACGCTGCAAGATGATGTTTCCTCCAGCTCTTTCTCTGTGATGATCACAGAGCTGAAAGCAGAGGATTCTGGGACATACTGGTGTGGATCAGACTCACAGTGGAATGTTGGAAACCACGTCAAGATTCAACTATCAGCAGGTAATACTTAAGCAACCTTGTGATGGGAACACACCAGTCGCGAGGATACAGTTAGCACTGAATTTAATTCCTCTGTCTGGAAATCTGCTGTATAAAGCTATTAATGCATATTTTTTACAAATCTGGGAAATAGGCTTTATGTGAGTTTTTATTATCACTGCAAAGTTTATTTGTAATTTCAAGGGTTTTTGTGTGCAGCCAGTTGCACGCCAGGAGGCTAGACTGTATAGGACATGTAAACTACAAGAGCAAAGATATGTTACTTTTATTTATTTTTTGTAAAGTGCCCCACACAACCATTGGCTTGTCTTCTCTAGGCCTGTGAAACAGGTTGTTTTGAGTTGGCTTAATGTTCACCTTCTTATAAAATATAAGCAGAATACATTATTACAAGAAATCTAACACAAACTAAAATACTTTTGTATTGAACTGTTTTGGGAACGTATTGGTCAGATGACTACATGGGACATGCTACAAACATTATATTTGATTTTGTTTTAGATTTTCATATAAATAAAAGCACATCATCAAAACGGTATGGTATGATTCCCGTCCCCTAGCGTAGCCCCAGTGATATTGAGTTTGGCACACCTTGATAGCATGCTAATATTAGCTAAATAGCACTTAACATAAAACGTGCAGAAGAAACATCATTACTCACCATAAAGTATAGGACTGGACACATTTTAAATAGGACCTGATGATTGCGGTACATACAAATCTGGGAATCACCAGAATTATTAAATGTTATCCACTTGAGAACACCACTGTCAAGAAAATGTCAGGATACATCATCTGAACCAAAGTTTTGAGCCAATTTATCCAGTAAATGTTCATCCTTTGGGGAAAGTGAATGTATTGACAGAATCTCATGTCAATTATTTCAATAGTTGTTGAGATATTTCAGTCCAGATCAAGTTGGTGGGCCGACCAACTGACCAACAAAAATGCCATCCTTAAAGTTCCACACCAAGCAATGCTAAAAATAAGAATATTTATTAAGTGTAATAATAAGAACATTTTCTCTTACAGTGTTTGAGCATCAGACTACCAGCACTGTGGTCTCCACCAGCACTGTTGGATCACAACTGACAAATACCACTGGTAAACCTATCAACAGAATGTGTAAGTGTGATTGTGAAGCAGATGTGTTTTTTCAGGAGGTTTATTTTTTGACTCTCTTCTGTTTTTTCCCCCTGAAGCAGTTCTCTTTCACCCAGTGGTCTACATCATCCCTGCTCTGCTGCTCACACTGACATTCGCCCTGGTTATAGTTTGTAAATGCAGAATGGACAAACGGAGAGGTATGTTTCACAAAGCATGAACACACACAGGCAACCACATCGACAAGTTGTGTAACCATTTCTTATGTTGTGTGTTTCCAGGAACAAGAGCCAATGTTAACAGAGACAAAACCAATGAAGCAGCAATAGAGGAAGTGCTGGGTGAAGCAGATGTAAGATAACTTGAATATAATGATGTAAAGTATAGTTTTTGGGTGTTATGAAAAGGATGTATTGCATATCACTGCAGTTGGCCTATTAGAATATATTCTATAATCTTTAGACATTATTTATAAGGCTGTTTGAGAAAAGTTATGGATCTGACAACAAGGGTTCGTCCTCCTGAGGCCTGTACTACGAAGCTGGATTTTCGCTTAGCCGGCTAACTTCAGGGAAATCTCTGGCTTTCCGGTCCTACGACGCTGGTTCTCTTTTTAGCGGGCTAGATTTCCATGGTAACTTATGCTGAGCGGCAAACCTGCTCCGGAGCAGGTTAGGTGGCAGGCTAAGAGATCAACTCAGTGAAAGCACTGCCTGCTGACCAATCAGAGCTCCGTGTGCGGAGTTTAAAGCAATCAATTCATATTACAGGATAGAGGAAATACAGAAAAACTGCCGTTGCAGGAAAGACGGCCGGCAAAAATCAACTGACTGTGTGAACGTGAAAATTAATAGAATATCCCCTCCCATCTTCAGAGCAATCTGACTATTATAATATTAGCGTTAAGAAAGCTTACTTAAATATCTGCCACACCATAAGTAACCGGATCAGAGTAACATTAAGTACAGTCCGCGGCACTGTGAGTGCAGATGTTGATGTGTCCCATTATCATTCATATCATATCACATCATAATGTATCATATATTTCCTTATCTGAGTCAGCTTCTTGAGCCGTATCTGGCCGTGCAACACTCAGTGTCACATACTGTATGCAGAAGTATTATTTTAAGCAACACATTAAGTTGACGAAACACTCGAGTCAAATTCTCCTAATTAAAGTCAGATCCACTCGTGTCTTGGACGGGGCAGTGATATCATAAACCTGTTAATGTACGCATTCAAACACTTTTTCTTTTACCAGCTGTATTCACCTTGCAGGTGCAGCTATGTGGCTTTTATCCTGGATAAAGTGTTTAAGTCATGGATGTTTAAAGTTTAACTTCTTCATATTTGACTAATATTAAAGTTCACTTTTCATTCAGGAAGTATGACGCTGCGCTGTCAGTACGCTTGTCCGTGTTTGAGATTGGTCGAATGCTCCAAATACCACCCCTCTCATGTGAACGTGCACCTAACTAGATAGGACACAGCTAGCTTGAGCGATCCACTTGATAACCAGCGTCGTAGTACAGTTTAGCGAGAGCGCGTATGTTTTGGATTGGGCCAACCGGCTAACTCAAACATATCCAGGTTTGGTTGAACCAGCTTCGTAGTACAGGCCTCTGGGAGCAAGATTACGTTTTGAGAATTTGAGAATAAGATACCGTCTCAAGATTTAGATATTTATTGGGAACAAGTGGACAATGTGGTATGATTATGGCAACAGAGAAAAGGTCAGGTGGTCACCAAACTCATGAAAATGATTCCTGCCATGAAATGTTGTAATATGGTCCCAAGAGGCTGCATCCTATTGAGTTTGGTGACCTTCCGAGTTTTCATCTAGCACCATCATCAGGTCAGAATTTAATTTGTCCAATACTGAGGTTAAATACTGGCAAAACTCATGACATCCCCATCAGTCTCAGTCTTAGTTCTGATGAGCAAATGTTGTAGCATGTCAGTATTGACATTGATCATGTTAGCATGCAGATGTTAGCATTTAGCTTAAAGCACAGTGAGCATTAGGGTAGATTCTCCTTATTGTGACATCATGGTGGCAGATGAAAGGCCAGGGGGTCATTAAAATGATTAATAATTATTCTAATCAGCCAATGAATATGTATATCACATTTCACTTCAATTGAACCCATAAATAGAAGGAATTCTTGAATTACTGATCACATTTAAAATACCTATTTTTATGTGCATAATAATATGAATTTTGATCAGAGTATAAATTCTCTTTTTATATTTGTTGATTCTTTTTTAGATTTATGCAAACCAAGAGTTGGTGCTCTCAGAAAAGTTGCCCACCAAACAGCGGCGTGCCTGTCAACGCAATGAGTATGCCGGTGAAGAGCAACAAGACTCTGTGTACCGCAACATCTCCGCATCAGAGGATATCTACGTCAATGACATTTACATAAACAGTTAGCAATATGAACAGCATGCACCGATCATCCTCTCATTTCTAGGTCACATTTGTAACCAATGATGTGCTGATGATGTGTTCAGGAGCAACAAAGATATGTATTTTATCAACAATTACCATCAGTTATATGTGTATTCATTGCTTTATTAATTGCTTTAGGCATGTTGTTAATATACCAACTGTTTAACACACCTGCACTTCCAACAAGAAACTGTAAATAACCATTTAAACTTATTATTATCTATGTAAGTTACCTTCATGGATATATGAAAGGCGCTATATAAATGTAAGTAATTATTATTATTAAGTGTGATAAAATGAAAACAATGGATAAATAAACAAAACCAAGAAAATCCAGTCTATGTTGAAACACTACATCACCAGGTTATTTGTTTTTGAAAATACTTTCATATATGTGCATATATGCATATATTCTAAAACTAAATATTACTCCTTGTTATTTAGTTGACTCATTATTTATTTTCGATTTAATAGACTAAGATTTTAATTAATCTTTCATTCTGCATGACTTAATTCCAAGGAATTTATGAGCACATCTCTGTAATCTGTTAATTAAAATATCTTTAGTCAAAGATACCTTTAATTAGTTGAGGGCTAACTTGGATTAAGCAAGATAAAAAAAACTATAATAATTCTGGGGTTACATTTGATTTCACACATCACAGCTTACCTAACCTGCATGTCTTTGGACTCGGCTAAAGAACATGTTATCGTCACACAGAAGAGAGTTATTGCTCCCGAATTAAAGAGCTCAATTTATTTGAAGCTTGTATACATGTGAATCAAAATGTTGATCTCACAAGGATCAGAATCAGAATACTTTATTAGTCCCACAGAGGGGAAATGTACGTTGTTACAGCAGAAAAAGAGCCAAAGACAGCTTAATGTTACGTTACGTAAAAGCATGCATAAAAAAGTATTAAAGTTAAAAAAAGTTATAATATAATAAAAAATATAATAAAATAAAATGTTACACAATTTACAAAATACACATCTTGTAGCAGTTCTAAGGATTTAGCAGCCAGGTATATATTGCAGTTATTAACGGCATATACATATATTGCACATATAGCACATATAGCACATAGTTGGTTGGTATTTAACAGCAAGGGGTGTTTCATAACCACATTTCAACAATCGACACATATCTACGGTAGGCCCAAAAAACTTCCATTAGGAGAAAAGCGCTACCTGTACCACGATGCAGATAAAAAATAAAAAGTGCAAATAAAACGTGCAAATGAAGAAACACCTTCATGTAAGTGTTTTGGGCCGTTGAAGCGTGTTTGCACGGGTCAGCCACTTTACATAGCACTGTCAAACATACCAAAAGTATATGTGTGTGTGTGTGTTCCTTTCTTATGACCCAACAGTGAGACAATGACCCTATTTCAAATTAAACAGGAACATGAAACAAATGCTTGGAACTCAGTCGGGGTGTTAAGTGCCACTTCTGCTGTTTGACAAGTGTGAGGAGTGTGCTATTTGTGTGCCTTTTTTAGGAAGTGCACTGTATTCTGTATTTTTTTCATATGTTATACTGACTAACGCTTTTAAAGTTGTTATTGTAACTACTGTCTTCCTAATAGTGGCATTTGCCCTGGTCATAATTTATAAATTCAAGTGAAGGGTGTGCATTACATACACACCATGCTCAAACACACATAACTGTGACTGAATTTGGTGTGTTGTATGAATGCGTGTTCATGCAGGAAATGAAGTCAGCAGGTGCTGAATTGTAACAAAGATTTGATGGGAGTGTGATCTGAATTCTGTAGAAAACAAAACTTAAACCAAATGTCAGTAGTGGCTTCAAGAGGCGACAATAATCCTTACACTCCTAGAGACACAAACATGGCGCACAATGAAGCCTTCTGCTTGTTCTGGTATTCATCAAAAGGTCTTATAACCTGGAAATGGTGAATATGTTTAGAAATGTATATTGAGTAATGTGTGTGTATTTTTTATTACATTACTTTTATTTATGTCATTATTACAAACTCTATTATCTTTATTATCACCTGTGAGGAGGATGTAAGTTCACAGGTTCAGCAAGAATAAAATACATTACAAAGAAGTACAGAGAACAGCAGCAAGCTACAACTACTCTGTACACTAATTAGAGTTTGAGTGGATCCTAGATATTTCTATTATTCATGATCCATTACTATATAACCTATTATGTATGTAAGACTTAAATCAGGGATGGGCAAATGCGGCCCCCACCTCCTCTTTTTGCGGCCCTAAGATTAATTTATAAACAACGTAATTAATAAAATATGTAATTAAAAAATATTTTTTTATTTTTGTATTTGTAGTACTGCAGTGTTTTCCCTGCCATTGTCTTGGAGGGGCGCTGCGCCCCGCCAACGGAGCCCCGCACCCCCCCTGAAATTCAAGGTGTTTAAAAAAAGAACAATTATAAAAAAAAATTATTTATATATATATATATAGCACCAAATTGCAACTAATCTATATCTACTGTCACTTTTCACATTGAACATGTGCTCTTTTATTAAATAAACTAAATGCTTTCATTTTAAGTTGTGAGTTTAGTGTTTTTGACCCTAAGAAACACTGATGCATTAATCAATAACAATAATCCACAGCTCCTCTCTCTGCTCCAGAGGATTTCAAAAATATATATCCCAATTTCCCGGGGAAACACTCAAGAAACACCGGCTGTTGTTATGCCTGCTGTGACGTTAAGTTACCGCTTGTAATTATGCCGTTACAAGCTTAAAAGTTGTATTTATCATCTGAATTTGGCGAAACAAGTTTAATATTCTAAAAACCAAGACTTTGTTTATTTGAAATCAGATGAAAACAAACTGTCACGGACCCTGCCGTGTTATCTATGATTACTATACACTTTTCATTCATCATTTCAGCGGGAGGGAGGGGGAGCGGTGCTGAGGAACAGCAGAGTGTCTTCGCTAGGTTCACACAATTACATACAATACATGCAATTTGTGTGTGTGTGTGTGTGTGTTCCAAGTGAATCTGCGGCCCCCTGGTGGCCAGTACATACATTATGTGGCCCCCACCACCATCCAACTTACCCATCCCTGACTTAAATAGTTACTAGGGTTGCCATTTAACTTTGGTAACTAGTCACCTGAGCCAAAGCTGCTCCTGCCAAGATGAGTAACCAGGCAACACCAAACAAACACACAGCTTGGTCTGCCTAAGGACTTGAGTGTGGACACATAACTGATACTGCTTTTATAACAACATCGGCTTAATTCACCTGATCTGTTCACGTATTTTTTGTAGCTGTAATTTAATTGGCAAAGAATGAGCTCCAAGGTCATCGGAGGACATCATGAGCCCTTTGAACCCCAAATCAATGCATAATTGTATACACTGTCCATGTGGGAGTACATATTGTTACAGGATGTCTCAGAATATCAGAATCAGAATACCTTTATTCGTCCCATAGAGGGGACATTTACGATTTTTACAGCAAAGAGCCAAAGGTAGCTTAATATCTAAGTATATCACTCAAGAAGCATGCATAAAAACAAAAGATACAAAACTAGAAATTACACAATTTACAAGCGATATAGCAGCCAGGTGAAAGTATACCGGTTAGCACCGTCTGAAGTCCACCACCAGCTCTTTTTTATTCCTTGTCTTAAATTATATTGAATGTATATTTAGCTTCTGAACCATTGGTCAGACATAAGTAGAACATTGAGATTTAGAGTTCTTTTTCAGTTTTTCCATTTTTTTATTGATCAAATAATTTATCCAACAATGAGAAAGTAACCTTCAGAGCACCAATAAAAAGCTGGCTCAGTTGTGCTCCACAGTAATATTCTCCGGATCAAGTGTCTATTAGTGAGTTTTGTGTCAGAGGAGAACAGCACCAGCAGAGGGCTCACTAGGATAAACACTAAGTTGTGTGTGACGGTGTGTTTTGCAGGAAGTGGACTTGATCAGAAGTGTCCAGGCTCTTCTGAAGAGAACTACAGCTCAAGTTGTCAGTCAGATCAAGTGAGTGTAACATCTCAACATAAAAATACAAATGTAAAAGGCCCTTTTTAGTTTAAAGCTCACACTAAATATCCCTGGGTTTGTGTCTCTGTGTGTCAGGATGAACCGAGAGGCAAAGCAGACGTTGGAGATGGATTGGTCTGACAAGTACCAGGCATACAACTTTGATGACCACAGTGGAAGACACAGTAACATGAGCCCAGACACACGGCACCACCCAAGCTCAGCCACCTTCCAGGACCAGTGAGTCCTTGTTTGCGTATGACTGTGTATCATCATCACATCTTAGAAACAGATCAAATGAGAAACAATGTGAATAGCAATGTGTCATGTGTTCTTCTGCAGGGTGTGTAACTGCACATCGTGGACAAAGTTTACACAGGACAACCTGAACAAGGCCCAGCAGGAAGAACAAACCACCCACAGTCTCAGGTTGGGTTGGGTTTCCTTGTGTCAGACAAACAATTTGTGGACAGTGAAAAAAACCACCTGTTTGTTCTTATCGTTGTAAGAATTCTCTCGAACACTGGTAAACGTTTAACTACTATCTAAGAAAATAGCAACAATAAGAAAAGCTTTGGTTAATTCCAGAAATCTGAATGATACTTACAAAATAAGAACAAGTCATAGATACACGCAAAAATAAGACATTTGTTTGTATATATTTTCCGTAATAGGCCCATTGTTACACATTATTGAAGATAAATATAGTGATGCTGGTGTGACTGACAGGCTGCTGGTGGAGCAGGTGCTGCAGGACACCACTGAAGATCTGGAATTCCAGTGCTCCAGTGTGGACCGAGCCTTCAGCCGGCGCGTTCAGGAGCTGATAGAGGCCAAGACCCAGATGGAGACCAAGCTGGCACAGGTAGAGAAACAGACCAACACACAGACTGACAGTGTGACTCATTGTCTAAAGGTCCCCTATTATGCAAAATGCACTTTTTGATGTCTTTTATACATAAATATGTGTCCCCGGTGTGCCAGGAGACTCAGAAAGTGTCAGAAAATAAAACCCTCTCTCTTTTCCTCCTTACCCACATCTCTAAAAACGGGGGTACAATGGAGCTGATCCAGATTTGCTGCGGTCATGACGTAATATCTGAAATGTGGGCTGGCTTTACGCCTACGGCCCTATCAGAAACGTCGCTGTATCAGAAACAATGCACGAAGTGTTTTGGAACTAATATGGTCTGTGTTTACATTAGCAAGCATTGCTAACGCTGTACTGGAGAGAGTATGTGTAAAGAAGCAGGATATAAAAAGGTATTTACCTTGTGGTAAACCCGTGAGAGAAAAAGCATTTGAGCTCCATACTGTTTCAGAAATAATCCTTGATGTGGTTTTGAACATGATATGGCATTTAATCGAGGCAGCATTTAGCATAGCATCTGCCGGTAGAATTCTCCTGCATGAGCAGGCATAAGATCCCCCCCCCTCTTTTCTTTTCTTTTTCCGAATTGTTTTAAATTGAAATCTACGGACCCAGAATCAGCACTTCTCTAACAGGGCTGAAATAGAGGGGTATGAGGCATGGCTAGAATGGGTGATCTGATTGGTATTTTGAGCAAAACACTTCAGACCCTATAATATATGCCTGAAAATAGTATAATAGGAGACCTTTAATATCTCTTTTGTGATGGTGTGTGTAGGTCCTGGAGCAGATTGGGGCCCAGGAGAGGAACATTGTGTTGCTGCAGCAAGCCATCCACAACAAAGAGGCTCCACTGAGAGTAGCCCAGTCCAGACTTTACCTCCGCTCCCTCAGACCCAACATGGAGCTCTGTAGAATCAGAATGCTTTATTAGTCCCACAGAGGGGAAATGTACGTTGTTACAGCAGAAAAAGAGCCAAACACAGCTTAATGTTACGTAAAAGCATGCATAAAAAAGTATTAAAATAAAAAAAAGTTATAATATAATAAAAAATATAATAAAATAAAAAGTTACACAATTTACAAAATACACATCTTGTAGCAGTTCTAAGGATTTAGCAGCCAGGTATATATTGCAGTTATTAACGGCATATACATATATTGCACATATAGCACATATAGCACATAGTTGGTTGGTATTCAACAGCAAGGGGTGTTATAGCACGCTATTGGTTAAAATGAGGAACTGCTGACACTGCGGGTGTGATATTTACCCACATTATATTTTGTACATTTTGTACTTTGCTGTATGTGAGAAACAAACAGTTCACGTGAATTTATTGAGGGAAATCTAAGCAATTAAGTGTTAAACCCCCATATATCCCCGCATTGTAATGATCCTTTGTTTCATAACCACATTTCAACAATCGACACATATCTACGGTAGGCCCAACAAACTTCCATTAGGAGAAAAGCGCTACCTGTACCACGATGCAAATAAAAAATAAAACGTGCAAATGAAGAAACACCTTCATGTAAGTGTTTTGGGCCGTTGAAGCGTGTTTGCACGGGTCAGCCACTTTACATAGCACTGTCAAACATATCAAAAGTATATGTGCGTGTGTGTGTTCCTTTCTTATGACCCAACAGTGAGACAATGACCCTATTTCAAATTAAACAGGAACATGAAACAAATGCTTGGAACTCAGTCGGGGTGTTAAGTGCCACTTCTGCTGTTTGAAAATATATGTGTGAGGAGTGTGCTATTTGTGTGCCTTTTTTAGGAAGTGCACTGTATTCTGTATTTTTTTCATATGTTATACTGACTAACGCTTTTAAAGTTGTTATTGTAACTACTGTCTTCCTAATAGTGGCATTTGCCCTGGTCATAATTTATAAATTCAAGTGAAGGGTGTGTTTGAGCATGGTGTGCATTACATACACACCATGCTCAAACACACATAACTGTGACTGAATTTGGTGTGTTATATGAATGTGTGTTCATGCAGGAAATGAAGTCAGCAGGTGCTGAATTGTAACAAAGATTTGATGGGAGTGTGATCTGAATTCTGTAGAAAACAAAACTTAAACCAAATGTCAGTAGTGGCTTCAAGAGGCGACAATAATCCTTACACTCCTAGAGACACAAACATGGCGCACAATGAAGCCTTCTGCTTGTTCTGGTATTCATTAAAAGGTCTTATAACCTGGAAATGGTGAATATGTTTAGAAATGTATATTGAGTAATGTGTGTGTATTTTTTATTACATTACTTTTATTTATGTCATTATTACAAACTCTATTATCTTTATTATCACCTGTGAAGAGGATGTAAGTTCACAGGTTCAGCAAGAATAAAATACATTACAAAGAAGTACAGAGAACAGCAGCAAGCTACAACTACTCTGTACACTAATTAAGAGTTTGAGTGGATCCTAGATATTTCTATTATTCATGATCCATTACTATATAACCTACTATGTATGTAAGACTTAAATAGTTACTAGGGTTGCCATTTAACTTTGGTAACTAGTCACCTGAGCCAAAGCTGCTCCTGCCAAGATGAGTAACCAGGCAACACCAAACAAACACACAGCTTGGTCTGCCTAAGGACTTGAGTGTGGACACATAACTGATACTGCTTTTATAACAACATCGGCTTAATTCACCTGATCTGTTCACGTATTTTTTGTAGCTGTAATTTAATTGGCAAAAAATGAGCTCCGAGGTCTTAGTGTCAAGGCCCCACTATGACAGCAGAGCTGTGGCCCAGGGGGTCCAGGAGAGAGACCTCTCTGTAAAGCCGGATGTCCCGCAGCCGTCCTCGGGCTCAGCCACAGCCGGTTACCGCTCCGCTAAATACGGCCCTGCTGAATGGTTCTCCAACTACCACAGCATCCTCCAGCAGGCCGGCACCGAGAGCCACGCAGCCCGGAGCATCCAAAGAGAGTCCAAAGCTCTGCACCAGGACACCGAGGCAGGCACTTTCAAGACCCAGGGTGAGGGGACGCGTCTCCTGGGGGAGAGACTGCATGAGATCCACAGCTGGAAGTCTGAGCTGCAGCGGCACATCGAGCAGCTGCAGGCCGACACAGAGTCACTGCTGGCGCTGAAGACGAGGCTGGAGAAGGCGCTGGACGCCTCCGAGACTCCGTATGCCATCTCCACCGATAATCTGAGCTGCAGGGCCCGGAGACTGGGACCAGACCTGGTGCGAGACTCCGTGGAAGAGGAGCTGGTGAAGGTGATCATTGGTTTTACGTTGATGTACTGCTGTATGAACTGTATAACACTGACACAGGACATAAGGGTCATTGTCTTTGCATTTAAAAAAGATCTCAATATGAATTTGAAATTCAAGCAATAGGTATAATAAGAATAAAATAATATTTGGATAAATTCATAATTAATTGGAGAAATATACCACTGTGAAGTTAGTCTTAGGTTGGATATTTGAATTTCCTTTAAAGGTCCCATGTCATGGCCATTTCCACTGATCATAATTCCATTGTTGAGGTCTACTAGAATAGATTTATATTGTGCAATTTTCCAAAATCACATTGGTTTCTCATACAGCATCTCTGTATAGTATGTGTATTCACTCTCTGTCCTAAACGGCTTGTTGGAGCTCCTGCCCCCCCCCTCCCTATGAGCCCAGTGGCCGTCTGTGAGACAGCGAGACACAGTGAAACCCAGCCCGAACACACACACACACCCGCAGCCTGGCTGGGAGTTTGTGTGTGTCCTCACACACCGACTCACAGCCTCGCCGCGTCCCGCCGTCTCAGGGAGGAGAAATCGGCGGAGCTGCAGCTGAGAAAAGATTGAGTGTGTGTGAGGAAGTCCGCGGATTGGACGTAACGTAACGGCTCCACGGATTGGTCCATTTGGACCAATGGGTCCATTTGGGTATGGGCACGTCACTGTACCCAGGAAGAAAAAGAGAAATCTCCAACGAGGCGTTCTGGGGCAGCATAGACAGGTATTTTCTGTGTTAGAGTTTTACTCGCTCCAGGGTGTACTTTGAGGGTTTGTGACTTTGCAGACGGTTTACAAAAAGCTACATAACACACAAGGGGACGGGTAATAACCGGAAAAGCATGACATGGGACCTTTAATAGATTCAATGTCTTGTGAACCGATGACCTGATTACTGTTGAGAAATGTAAGCAGTTTCTCTATTGAAAAGTCTACATATTATTACAGGATGTCTCAGAATATCAGAATCAGAATACCTTTATTCGTCCCACAGAGGGGACATTTACGATTTTTACAGCAAAGAGCCAAAGGTAGCTTAATATCTAAGTATATCACTCAAGAAGCATGCATACAAACAAAAGATACAAAACTAGAAATTACACAATTTACAAGCGATATAGCAGCCAGGTGAAAGTATACCGGTTAGCACCGTCTGAAGTCCACCACCAGCTCTTTTTTATTCCTTGTCTTAAATTATATTGAATGTATATTTAGCTTCTTTTAGAGTTCTTTTTCAGTTTTTAAATTTTTCCATTTTTTTATTGATCAAATAATTTATCCAACAATGAGAAAGTAACCTTCAGAGCACCAATAAAAAGCTGGCTCAGTTGTGCTCCACAGTAATATTCTCCGGATCAAGTGTCTATTAGTGAGTTTTGTGTCAGAGGAGAACAGCACCAGCAGAGGGCTCACTAGGATAAACACTAAGTTGTGTGTGACGGTGTGTTTTGCAGGAAGTGGACTTGATCAGAAGTGTCCAGGCTCTTCTGAAGAGAACTACAGCTCAAGTTGTCAGTCAGATCAAGTGAGTGTAACATCTCAACATAAAAATACAAATGTAAAAGGCCCTTTTTAGTTTAAAGCTCACACTAAATATCCCTGGGTTTGTGTCTCTGTGTGTCAGGATGAACCGAGAGGCAAAGCAGACGTTGGAGATGGATTGGTCTGACAAGTACCAGGCATACAACTTTGATGACCACAGTGGAAGACACAGTAACATGAGCCCAGACACACGGCACCACCCAAGCTCAGCCACCTTCCAGGACCAGTGAGTCAGTTTGCGTATGACTGTGTATCATCATCACATCTGAGAAACAGATAAAATGAGAAACAATGGGAATAACTATCATGCAATGTGTCATGTGTCCTTCTGTAGGGTGTGTAACTGCACATCGTGGACAAAGTTTACACAGGACAACCTGAACAAGGCCCAGCAGGAAGAACAAACCACCCACAGTCTCAGGTTGGGTTGGGTTTCCTTGTGTCAGACAAACAATTTGTGGACAGTGAAAAAAACCACCTGTTTGTTCTTATCGTTGTAAGAATTCTCTCGAACACTGGTAAACGTTTAACTACTATCTAAGAAAATAGCAACAATAAGAAAAACTGTCGTTAATTCCAGAAATCTGAATGATACTTACAAAATAAGAACAAGTCATAGATACACGCAAAAATAAGACATTTGTTTGTATATATTTTCTGCAATAGGCCCATTGTTACACATTATGGAATGTAAATATAGTGATGCTGGTGTGACTGACAGGCTGCTGGTGGAGCAGGTGCTGCAGGACACCACTGAAGATCTGGAATTCCAGTGCTCCAGTGTGGACCGAGCCTTCAGCCGGCGCATTCAGGAGCTGATAGAGGCCAAGACCCAGATGGAGACCAAGCTGGCACAGGTAGAGAAACAGACCAACACACAGACTGACAGTGTGACTCATTGTCTAAAGGTCCCCTATTATGCAAAATGCACTTTTTGATGTCTTTTATACATAAATATGTGTCCCCGGTGTGCCAGGAGACTCAGAAAGTGTCAGAAAATAAAACCCTCTCTCTTTTCCTCCTTACCCACATCTCTAAAAACGGGGGTACAATGGAGCTGATCCAGATTTGCTGCGGTCATGACGTAATATCTGAAATGTGGGCTGGCTTTACGCCTACGGCCCTATCAGAAACGTCGCTGTATCAGAAACAATGCACGAAGTGTTTTGGAACTAATATGGTCTGTGTTTACATTAGCAAGCATTGCTAACGCTGTACTGGAGAGAGTATGTGTAAAGAAGCAGGATATAAAAAGGTATTTACCTTGTGGTAAACCCGTGAGAGAAAAAGCATTTGAGCTCCATACTGTTTCAGAAATAATCCTTGATGTGGTTTTGAACATGATATGGCATTTAATCAAGGCAGCATTTAGCATAGCATCTGCCGGTAGAATTCTCCTGCATGAGCAGGCATAAGATCCCCCCCCCTCTTTTCTTTTCTTTTTCCGAATTGTTTTAAATTGAAATCTACGGACCCAGAATCAGCACTTCTCTAACAGGGCTGAAATAGAGGGGTATGAGGCATGGCTAGAATGGGTGATCTGTTTGGTATTTTGAGTAAAACACTTCAGAGACATGTTTTTTATATATCTGAGACCTATAATATATGCCTGAAAATAGTATAATAGGAGACCTTTAATATCTCTTTTGTGATGGTGTGTGTAGGTCCTGGAGCAGATTGGGGCCCAGGAGAGGAACATTGTGTTGCTGCAGCAAGCCATCCACAACAAAGAGGCTCCACTGAGAGTAGCCCAGTCCAGACTTTACCTCCGCTCCCTCAGACCCAACATGGAGCTCTGTAGAGATCAGCCCCAGTTCAGGTAAACTAACAATGCACACACATGCAGAGTCTCATTCCATGTGTGTCCTCTTCCCCCTCTTAATTTGGTTTGCTCCCGTGTTTGCAGTTTGGAAGGGGAGGTGAGGCAGATTGATGCCACTGTGGCGTCCCTGCAGCAGCAGCTGAGTGAGGCCAGACGCTCCCTGTCCCACCTGGAAGAGTCACGCATCACCCTCGAGAAGGACATTAACTGCAAAACCCACTCACTGTTCATCGAGAGAGACAAGTGCATGACCCACCGAAAACGATACCCCGCGGCCTCCAAACTGTTAGGATACTGAAAGCAATGACTCGGGAGTGTTTTTGTGAAATGTAGTAATTTTGTTGTTTTTCAAATGTTACCATCCTGGATTGTATTGTCTGTTTTTTGTCCTGTGTTGTGAGGATCAGTAAAACAAAATTAAAACAAGAAAGCCTGAAAATTGATTATTAAACAACACATTTAAAAGTATTTAAATTCACAAAATCACTAATACTGACAACTATCAACAACGTGCTGAATTCATTTTTGTGTAATAAGGAAAACAATACTGCAGCGTTGCTTACTGATCTCCATATACACTGTTGTACTGATACGTTTTACAGCATTTCTTACACAAAATTATTAACAAAACATAATACAGTCACAATGTAAAGGGAAGAAGGCTTTGCAGTCCCTTTAAAGTTTAACAGTCAAGTTTAATATACAATATAAACAGGGTACAAGGCAGTTGTGAAAGATGTACTCAGAAACTGTATTTATATTCTTTTAAATGGTTCTCTTGTAGCATTTACTGTATACAAAATATCCACTCCATGAGAGGGAGCTCTTGAGCCTCAATATATTGTCTCATGTCACATTTCATTACAGTGAGCTGCTTGTCTTTACTGTAGGTATATTTTATAGGTTAAAAAAATAAAATCTTCAATCACACAGATTAAGATGTAACCAATTGTTTTACGTTAGTAGCACAGTTATAGATATGTGTATGAAATTTGTGTTGTTTAAGACGAGCTACCTGTTGTTATCCATTTTCTTTTTCTCTGCTGAACCGCACTTAAATCTAGTGATGAAGAACGTCAAGATTTCTAAAGTCATCTAACAAAAGAACAATTGAAAAGAAGCATCTAAACTTTTTACAATTGACATAAATCACACTTGAATTGTATTTTTGACTGCATATTTAGTTTTAGGGTCTGTTTGTTATCGTCAAAGCATTCTAGTGTCATCTTTAGGAATACGTGCTACGTGCTGTTCCGTTTTTTGAATATGGAGCTCCATCCATCTCTATTCTTAGAGAGCTTCCTCCATGTGAGGAGGTGCCACGACTGAGGATGTTACGAAACTGAACTTCATGCAAAGAGAAAGAAGAGTTCAGACAGGCTCCGTTCTTACTGCGCAGCACATAGTATTTATGTCATGACACCACCAACTGCGGGCATGGGACGGTGCCAGCACTGTGGCGTGTGTGTGTGTGTGTGAGCATGTAACTTTACCATTGTGTGGTATGAAAATGCACGCCCTTTCAGTTTTTCAGACATCAGAAGGGAAAGTAATTTTTTTTTTTTTAGAGTTTCAATTAGGATTGGGCAAGACTTTGATACACACGGTTCAGGGCACAAACAATAAAACTAATATTCTCTTACCATGCATTTTACAGTATTTAACATGTTTTGTGAGAGAAAATCCTTATAAAATGACACTTTTATAAGTTGAGCCCATGTGACCTGTGAGAAAGTGGTTGGCTTCATTTGAAAAGAGTAGCAATATAATGTAAGTGACTAAAGTAAGTGTTCATAAATCTATGTTGGGGTGCATCAATTATTCAGTATGTCTGATTTGACTACAAGTAACCTGAAGTTTATTTATCATGTTCAGATTGTATTTCCTTTGTGTTTTCACTGATTTCCATGGTTAAATGGACGTTAGGTGATGGATAGGACAAACGTGACCTTATGAAAAAGAGAAAAAAAAAGTTGCATAAATGAAGAAAATGGGAGGGATGGATGAAGTAGCAGATCTGAGGGAGTGACAGAAAAAGAAAGAGGGAGGGAGAAGAGGAGAAAAGAGAGACAGCAGGACCAAGCTCACTGCCTTCCTTTCCTCCAGAGCTCTCTCCCTTCTTTCTCCTCGTGACTCCAGGCTGAGATCAGGTGAGTTTGGCTTCAGCATTTTTCTCTTTACTTCAACTATTGCCAAACTGTACTTAAACTTAATTATGAAATATTTTATCCCTGCACCTGCATGAACTCACCCACGCCTCATCCCTCCTTTAACAACCTTAATTATGCCCTTTCGCTTGCATCAACTTATATTTGCTCAGGCTCGTTGCATTTAGTTTTAATGAAAGCAGAATTTCATTGAGCCCTGGCTGGATGAATTTACTATAAGGAATTTTTCATCTTCAAAATCTATTCTCTTCTTGCTCCTTATTTCACCAGTTTCTTCCCATCTATTAGAAAATAGGGTTTTATAGGGTTGTTTCAGGGTTAAATGAATCATTGCTCATTAACCAAAATATCTCTCACAGACCTGCTGCGTTATTTATGTGTGAGAACATTTTTATGACTGTGTTTATTTGCATTTGTGTCTGTTGGCTAAATGCATGCAGCTAAGGTTGAGGGTTTGCGGAAAGCCAAAGTTTCCGTTGGCTGGACTGAGAGGCTACTTTTAGCTTTGGTTATTACTCCCTTTGCCCTGACTGGTTCAGACTGAGTGCTACGCTTCCACTATGTTCCTCAAGTCCCTGACTGTCCTTTAAATGACTGATTATTTAAAAAGAAAAAAACATCTATCAATCTTTCATTTTACAGCACAATGTCCCATTAGGGTTAGACGAGAAGTTTTAAATTATATGTTTAGTCAGAGTATGGAATGTGAGTTCCATGGCTTTGTGTGATTTTTGGGATTTTTGTGGTAACATGTGCATATATATTTAGGAGCTCCTGCTTTACATACATCTACTGTTTTCTGTTTTACTTCTCTTTACCTTACATCACACCGCTTCCATTTTCATTCCCATGAGGAGGTCTCATCTCTTCTTCTGTTTCCCCCTGCAGGATGCTGTGCCTCAGCTCACTGTCCACACTCCTCCTCCTGCTCCTGCTCTACCCCCCTGCGCTGTCTGGCCAGGAGATGCTTGTACGTCTGGCAGGCGTAGGTCGGCGCAATACAAACGAGGGGCGAGTGGAGGTGTTCTACAATGGCGCATGGGGCACAGTGTGTGATGACGAGGTGGACCTTAACCTGGCCAATGTGGTGTGCCAACAGCTGGGCTACCAACGCGGCCTGACCTGGGCGCACAGTGCCAAGTTTGGCGAGGGACAAGGTATGTCCACCAAATTGTGTTTCGTTTGGAACACCTTACTATTTAAAGCTCTTTATACATAAGTATGTGTCCCCGGTGTGTCAGGGAACTCACAAAGTATCAGAAAACAAAACCCTCTCTCCTTTCCTCCGTACCCAAATCTCTAAAAACGGGGGTACAACGGAGCTGATCCAGATTTGCTGCCGATATGACATAATATCGGAAATGTGGGCTGGCTTTACACCCACTGCCCTATCAGAAACTCGCTATCAGAAACAATGTGCGACGTGTTTTGGAGTTAACATGGTCTTTGTTGACATTAGCAAGCATCGCTAACACTCAGAGCTAACCTGTACTGGAGAGAGTATGTGTAAAAAAGCAGGAAATAAAAAGGAACTCACCTTGTGGTAAACCCGCAAGAGAAAAAGCATTTGAGCTCCATACTGTTTCAGAAATAATCCTTGATGTGGTTTTGAACATGATATGGTATTTAATCACGGCAGCATTTAGCTGAGTATCTGGGTAGAATTCTCCTTTTTTATATATTGTTATATATCTGAGGCCTATAATATATATGCCTAAAAATAGTATAATAGGAGACCTTTAAGTTTTTATATATTTAAATTCTCAAACTTACCACCCTTTCTTGCTGCTAGGTCTGATCTGGTTGGACAATGTGCGTTGCACGGGCACAGAGCTCTCCATTGCAGACTGTCCCTCCAATGGTTGGGGCATCAACGACTGCAGCCACGCTGAGGACCTGGGGGTCATTTGCAGCCCAGACAGGAGACCTGGCTCCCCCGCCGTCACAGTAGAGGAGGCTCCTTCATCCCCTAGGCAGCAGCCAAACCAGCCAAGACAGAGAAACCCACCACCGCAACCACAACAGTCAAATCCTCCCCCAGCCCTCATCTCCTCGTCCCCTGGAAGGGGTCATGAGATCGCCCTTCATCGTAACCCTACTTCTTCTCGTCGAAGCAACCTCACACCACAGGAAAATGGCCATGAGATCCAGATCCTGAGAAGGAATCGAGGCGGTTCCAGAGCAAACCAACAAGCCATGCCACAAGGGCACGAGCTGCCTTCGCGTCTGATAAACGGCCAATCCTACAGGCAGAGACAGGAGACAGAGAGGAACAGTCCCGCAGCCGTGAGACGAGGAGCAGAGATCCAGCCCCAGCCCCAGCCGAGGAATGTCAGACAGCAGCAGCTCAGTGGGAACCATGTCGAACCAGAGCCTGTTTATCCTGACGTTGGACTGGAGACTGATGTGCACTACACACAGGTAAAATCACACTGACAAACACACAAAGCCTCTAGTACACTGCAAATAATTAGTCCAATCGAGCTTTTCTTCAGACTCCCATAGATGAATGTCATTTGTGGAGCCACAGGCCAGTGGACATGTTTAATTAGAGACTAACTTAAAACCAGAACTTTTCCAGATCCAGCTCTTTCGCAGCGTTTAGTTCAGGACTCAACCACCAGAAGCTCAACAGCCCCTCTCTTCAAACATGCAAGAAACTCCGACCAGAGGAAATTGCAAGACATTTATCACTTGTGTTTGTCTTTCTTTCCTTTTGAACTTGCAGAGTTTACACTTTCCTGACCATTTTGTAATCATCGTGACACTTTAAGCAAATTCTCTGTTTTTCTGTTGGTTTCCTTCCTGCTGGCTGTTATGTGGATGATTAGAGAGCGTGATGATTACAGACGTAGCATGTCATCTTATGTTATTCTTTCCTCGATTGCAGATATTTCAAACACATTTTTGTTTGAATAAAGATTGCGTCATGTTTGCTAACTGTTATAATTTGTCAGAGAGTTTATCCTGTGGCGGTCTTTATTCAGGATTAACAGTGCTATACTCAACTCTTTATCATCATTAAAGAATTATTTCTGATTGCAGGGATCTGACAGGGTTCACTTAGAGGAGGCCCGTCTTCGGCCTGTGCTGGCCAAAAACCATGGTGATCTGGTGACGGAAGGAGTGTTGGAAGTGAAGCATGCTGGGAGGTGGCGTCATGTGTGTAACCAGGGCTGGGACCTCAGCAGCAGCCGTGTCGTCTGTGGCATGTTAGGATTCCCTGCGGCAGAAGCGTTTGACCAGAACGCCTACAGGTGAGAGTGTGGACACAGCAAAGTGACTCAGGAGGAGGGAGGCAGAAAAAGTGTGTGCGTGTGTGTGTTATGAAAGGGATGGAAAAGTGCGGTGGACTACACATCCCTTCACAGATTAGGCGGCCCCGTGCCTGGGTTGCTGTTCCTTCCCCCTGTAGTAGAGGTTAACCTCAACTGCTGTCATTAGAACAACCACACTCGGCACGACATGTCCACTGTGGCATTAGCCGAACACGGCCTGTCTGCCCATTGGCTGAGGAGGCCCCTGCACAGACCTTTAAAATAGTCTTAGACAGTATGTTATTAATGTCGGATCCAGACGAAAAGATTATCATCATCATCATCATCATCATCATGGTGTGTGTCTTTACTTGAACCCTCCCTTACATGGTTTCTAATCTCATATAATTAAGAAACCTTCAGTTAAAACTGTGTGCAGCAGCACTTTCCAAAGCAGGAAGGCAGACTGAAAACGAACTCCTATTCAGCCTAAGTGTAAATACAAACTGTGCCTTTTGGATAGAGAGTCTGAGGGAAAGTAGCAGGCTTGTTTAGAGGTGGCGGAGATGCCACTAATATCAGCTTTGGAGTATCAATCTTTCTGTAAGATCATTAATAACATTTATATTTCACGTACAGGATGTCACTGTATCTAATAGTTTTAAGATTCAAGCTTCATTCAAAAATATTAGCATTAAAATGATTGTTATTAATTACATTAATACAAGCTAGTACAGAGGCTAGTTAGGGAAAACTTCAGGTTTCTATTTGTTGTAAATGATCATAACTCTTGTATGTCCCTGAAACATAAATCGTCTGCCTTTAGCCATCAATACCCGCTTTAGAAACTACAAACATCTTCAAAGCCTTTACACATATGCCATAGCAAACCCCAATACCTCACATACACACACATGCAAATAAATCCATACCCCCGCCCTCGTCGCACGGTCTCTTAAAAGACCTGTCCAAAATCCATGTACGCATTTCACAAACGAATAAACACGCAAATGCACACACACACACACACACACACACGCTTGTGCACATTCAACACAACCCAATGTGTGTCCGCATGTCTGCCCACAGAGGTCTTTTTATGGCACGGCTAACAGGACCACTGTACTGACCGCTGACCTGCCCTGCACCAGCTGTCTCGAAATGTTGCCAAAGATTACTCCTTGTGTCCAACTCGGCTGTGCAGAGCTTCTCCTCAGCTGCCCTGTTAACCACACTGACCACAGCTTAGTAATTAATACTCAATGAGTGTGAGAAAATCTAAACCTCAGAAATTCGATCAAATAGGTGATTCCATTTGGTCAAGAAGACTTTTCGGGTCCAAGGTGGTTAGCATGTTCCCGGTGCAAACTTTTAAATATGGACAACGATACTGAAAAACATCTTGGGGTGGAGAAACATCATATTACTGTGCCAAGAATTTGACCAGTGGTTTGTGTAAAGAGTGGACCAGGCAGGAGAATGTTGTTTGTTTTTTTTGTCTACCTCCTCCCTTCGATGTGGGAGACGACAGGAGCAGCTATGTTTGTTCGACAGTAAACATCAAAGATGGGGAACAAGTTTTACTTTTTTGTTTGTTATCCATTTAGACACAAGAACCATGGTTCTTGGGATGCCAATGTCCGTCATCCATTCCTCTAGTTTGGTCCAGTCAACATTTTCAAAAACATGGGATAGATGACCATGACATTTTGCATTATTGGTCCTCAGTGAATAATGCAGTTTGGTCACTGCCTGACTTTTACTTCAGCATCACAATGAGGTTAAAAATTCAGTTTTTTAGGTTGAACAACTTTTGGATAGATTGCCATAAAGTTTGATGCAGACATTCATGGTACCCAGAGGATCAAACCTCATAACTTTGATGATCCCAGACTCTTCTTTTAGCTCCACCAGCAGGTCAAAGGTTTCACTTATTCAGTGGATAATCTCCATTTCTCTCGATTGGGAAGGCTCAACATTTATTACAGACATTTATAGTTCAAACACAAGGAATTGTTGGTGATCACCTGACCTTTCATTTGTGTTTTTTAGTTAAATGTCTCGACACCTACAGGACAGATTGCTATGATATTTTTTACAAACATTAATGTCCTAGTCAGAGTTCATTTTGATAACTTGTACAACCCCTAACCTTTCATCTAGGGCCACCATCAGGTCAATATTTAAAAGTGTCCAATACTCTGGTTTATGACCGAGTAAGGAGTTTAGATCAAAGCACTGCTGTGCCCAGCCTCAAAGCATGGTAGAGTTATTTTGATATTTATCCAAGGAAGATAGGATGTGATAACAGTGACATCCTGTCTTGCTGGTGTTACCCACTTTGCTGTCAATGGTCCATGCCTGCTTTTCTCTGGGTTTGTGTCCACAGCTATAATTATGGTTTGAGAGATGCTCTAGAATATTCTCTGCTCTTAACTGAACCTGCTGTAAACCCTGTGCTGTGTCAGCACTTCCCTCTCAGACCATGTGGTTGTTTCCTTTTTTTTTTTTTTGGTGTGACTGCATTTGTCTCAGCCTGTTAAGTTGCTCAGCGCCTTTTTACAGCTGCTTAAATACTCCTCTACTTTGCTGTGCTTACAAAAGGCAAGCACTAAAGCCAATTTCAAGCTCCCTTGTTTCATCACATCCATACTCTCTTTGAGGCTGACAGTAACTTCAGTTATTCTAATTTGTGTGAACCCACGGCTCCTTCAGCCCTCCCAACCGTGTCTCCAATAAAATTACATTCCCATACAACGAAACTGCACTCCCAAATGTATTACAGTCGCAGCTTGAAACACATGGTTAATGTTGAAATTAAAACAACAGCGGTCTCCAGGGTGACAGGTCTGTGTTTAGTTTAGCTACCAATTCACTACCTATCCACCACCCCAACTCACGCTTCACAGACTATTAGAGAGTAGCTTTAAAATATATTTGTGATGTGTTAAAGACTAACATAATCCAGGAGAAAATAAGTTTCCTTCAAAACATAATAGATAATGCAGTTTTGTTGTATGGGAACATGCTTTTTAGGAGACCATAATGCCCCTTCTCAGTTAAGGCCTTTTTATGCCTTTGTTGCAATTGAGCTGAAAAGCCAAAATTCATGGAAAGAAAATAATTATGACCCCTTTGAGTTTTGGTTCATTGGAGGTTGATGGGACAGTCTAAAGGCTGAACTATTGTTGGAACCTCTCTCCTCAGTGAGCCGATTTACTCCAGTCAGGAAGCTTTGCATTCATGCAGTATAATAATAGGTTATCTCTGTTTTCCTTACAGTAAGATCCCCTCTCCAGTGTGGCTTATGGTATTGTGTGGTCCTAATTGCAAAAAACTTGCATCAAGCTGAAGCTCCTGAGCAGTACGAAAGTGTTCTCCTGGATAAAATGATTCAGCAGTGCTGCACTGCTGCGGTCACAACCTGTTTTCTGTGCCTGGGGGTTGATGCTGTTGTTCACCTCCCTTCCTCACCATCTCCTTAAAAGATGGAGAAGAGCCTCAACCCAGCTCAAACGTGTGTTTCCGACCTGACAAAGAACAAAATCACCACTGTGTTTTTGGCTCTCAGAAAAAGGTGAGAAATCTAGGCGTAGTTCTGGACCCCGACCTCAATTTCAAATACCATATCAACACAATTACTAAATCAGCATACTATCACCTGAAAAACATAGCCAGACTTAGAACATTCATGTCTCAACAAGACCTTGAAAAACTAGTTCACGCCTTTGTTTTTAGCAGGCTTGATTACTGTAATAGTGTATTTACAGGTCTCTGTAAAAAATCGATTAGAAAACTACAACTAATCCAGAACGCCGCTGCCAGAGTCCTGACCAAAACAAAAAGAGTAGAACACATCACCCCAGTACTCAGATCTCTGCACTGGCTACCAGTAGCTTACAGAATCGATTTTAAAATTATATTGCTAACTTATAAAGCATTAAATGGTTTGGGACCCCAATATATGTCTGACATGTTGCCCTGTTACGAGCCCCCCAGAGCTCTGAGATCATCGGGGGCGGGCTTACTCATTGTTCCCCGGCTCAGAACCAAACACGCCAAAGCAGCTTTTAGTTTTTATGCTCCCCACAAATGGAACACACTTCCAGAAAACCTGAGGTCTTCACCAATGCTGAGTTCTTTTAAGTCGAGGCTAAAGACACTACTTTTTAGAGCTGCTTACCCAGAAGCCTTTTAACTTGTTTTAGCACTTACCATATTTACAATGGCGTTTTTAAACTATTTTGTATCTCATTAATGCATTGTTTTTATTAATCTGTTATTCCATTATGTTTATTTATTGTGTTCCTCTCTGTTGTCTTACTATTATGTGTTAATGATCATGTAAAGCACTTTGAATTGCCTCTGCGTCTGAAATGTGCTATATAAATAAACGTACCTTACCTTACCTCAGCAGGAAAACTTAAATGTGTCTTATGTGAAAACCAAAAGAACATGGTTTTCCTCATACTGTGAAGTTAGGCAATGCACATAAAAGTTGTCCAGTTCATAGAGACTTACATCACTTGCTCCTTGTCTCCCAGAATGCATTCATAAGGTTGGGTAACAACGCTGCAGATTTAAAGAGCTTCATTTTTACAGAGGCAAGGCAGGGAAAGTTGATATGTACGTGCATATTTCCATGTCTGGTGTGTGTGAACCAACATGCTACTGCTCGACCGCACAGCAGACACTGCCAAGCAGAGCAGGCAATTATATGGGTAGCACTCCCCCCTCCTCCCCCTTCTCCAAACCATGAACTAACACCCCCTCACAGCCGTCTCTCTCATTTTGATTTAGCACCGAGTTATAAAACATTTAAAACCGTGCAGACACACACAGATAGGCTTATAATTACACAAGCAGATAGACACAAGCCAATACACATCGTACTCAGTTCATGGGGTAAAAAGTACAATATTTTTTTCAAATGTTTTTCTTAAAATTGCACTGATCAATGTTGTAATATTACTAGAAACAATACATATGTTTACCTTCTGTCTGATAAATAAGTCTACATTGATTAAACTCCACCTTTTAACACAGCTGGTGAAGATAGTTGAGCATTTGGCAGCCAAACAGCTATTTTGTTCCATAAAGCAGATTGTCTGGCTCTGGGTTTATTGTAGGTTTCGTTGAAGGCCCCTCCAGCCCCAAACACACTTCTCATCTAATATTGGTACTTTAATAACTTGTGGATTACCGGTATACTGGGGTTCTCCTGGAGAGGAAACATTTCCCGTTTTAGGTTGCCAAATATTTAATTGCATCATGAATCTGGTTATACGGTTAACTTTATATTTGGTGTAGTGACTCATTTAATTCAAGCACATTCATGAAGGGGCGTCAGTCACACTGCACCTGTCTGTGGTCGCACTGGTAGATGCGTGTGGTCAGCTCGAGTGTGTGTGTGTGTGTGTGTGTGTGTGTGTGTGTGTGTGTGTGTGTGTGTGTGTGTGTGTGTGTGTGTGTGTGTGTGTGTGTGTGTGT